CAGTCTCCTAAGATGTGGCTCAGGTACCTAGAACTCTAAAAAAGTGATTCTGATGCCATGATACTTCTGGATAAGAATTAAGGCATTTTCAGTACTTCCTAAGGGTTTATTTTTAAAGTCTCCTGAGGATATTTGTTAAGGAGATAATCATGACAAGTAAAAAAAAAAAATTTCTGTTGAAATACTTTAAATAGATTGGACTATGATTAAAGATCTTCAATTTTTTTAAGATCTTCAATTTTTAATTAAATAAATTGAAGAAATTGCAGGTTGCTTCACTGAAAATTGCAACTACTGCTCTTTCTTGTTTGTATCTATTTGTTAGGTTTACCTTTACAAAATGTTCTTCTATGAGAAATGGTGTACTCAGAAATGAGAAGATGGTTACTTGAGCATCGATGATAATGCATACTCTTCATGCATAGACTCTTATTTGCTAAGTATCTGTATTGCTAGAGATACAATCCAATCAAAATAATTAGACATATAACCAGTCAAAATGTTTCTCTTGACAAAAAAGAAATTCTATAACAGACCAGGTAAACTAGTAATTAATAGAAACAGAGTAGCCCTGACCTCTTTAATTGTGAACATAAAGGTAAAATTTTTGTGTTAGAAACCAAATAATATTCCAACAGCAAATGTAGCCCATCTCGAGACAGAAGGATCTCATCTGGTCTCCTGACAAAGACATGAGCAACACCTCAGTTTTATCACCACATGCTAGATACAGTATGGCAGTAGTCATAAAATCAGAGAACCTGTCACATTGACCTTGAAATAGTCTCCTTACTAATGAGAAAGAATCAGGTTGCTTCCCTGGGCTTATGCCTTTTGGTGTGTTTGTATATGTATGGGTATGTGTGTGCAGATGTATTATTTTGAATTTTTAGAGGCATTAGGTAGACACCCCAACTCCTGTGAGGGACACTAACACCACAGCATTATGGTTCCAAATAGGATAAAACTGTGCATTAAGCCAGGGATCCTGAGGACCAACTTATTATTTGTGGTTCTCCTCACATAATAATGTGCTTCTCTTCACTGAAAGCTGGTTAAGACTTACTTTACCAGTACTTACTAGCTTTCTTAGTAAAATTCAATTAAGAATTTGCTCCAGCAGCTTATTAGGCCTTTAACGGATGCAGATTATACTCTTCATGCCTTTTGAATTAAGAGACAGGGAGTAATTTTACACACATAAGCAAACCCTAAACTGGTATTTGGTTCTCAGAAACTTGATACCAGCATTACTTAGAGCAGTAAGTTAGAAACCTAGGTGAGGCAGAAAGCAGCAAACGTGGCTGTTCCACTACTCGTCAGGTAGAATGAGGCAAATCGCATCTTTATATAGTGGAATAGAAGTTTCTTTTTTCAGACCAGTTGGTTAATCTTCACCAGAAAATTTATATTAAGGAATATTTAGACACACTGCAGTGCTCGCATAAAAATATGCAGAGCTGAGTAATAGGAGTAATATTAATATGAGAAAATAACCCCAAAGATGAAAACTTTGAAGGCAGGGCATTATCTGAGGCAAAGTGGTAGAGCAGTGTTCCCTTCTCTTTTAAAGTCCTTTGTATGCCATGTTGTTTGGAATGGTTGGGCTTGCTTTTCACGGCTGTGTGCAGGTCTTTTCTTTTGGGAACGTGCTGGTAAACATAATGGAAGTTCTCTCTAGAAGTAGATGTAAGCCTTCCCATATTGTGATCAAGATATTATATTTTTGTATGGAGCTCTTAGAGTGTATTACACTAAATGAAACAAGTCACGCAGAGAAAGACAAATACCATATGATCTCACTTGAAGAAAACAGATGAACATATGGAAGGTGGGGGGAGGGAGAGAGGGAAACAGACCATAAGAGACTCTTAACGGTAGAGAACAAACTGAGGGGTGATGGAGGAAGGTTGGTTGGAGGTGGGCTAAATGAGTGGTAGGTTTTAAAGAGGGCATTTATTGTTGTATGTAAATGATGAATCACTGAATTGTACTCTAGAAACCAATATTATACTGTATGTTAACTAAAATTTAAAAGAAATAGATGAAGCTCTGCCCCACTGCCTTCACTGTGTGAGGACATGTAATAGCATGAAAGTGGAAATAGCATAAACGTCTATGAGTCACAAAATAGAAAAATAAACTGTAAAATATATTCATTCATAAAGCACTCTCTCAGTGTTAAATGCAACTGAATTCGTCTGTGTTCTTGAGGAATGAGCTCCAAATAGCAGAAATAGGGACAAACAAAAGAATTTTTTAAAATAATGCATATTGTATAACATATCTATTTTAATTTCAAGAAATCACTAACAAAGGCCAAAAAAAAAAAAAAAGGAACCTTTGACTCCTAGTGTTTTTTTCTTTTTTCCAGAAATTGAGAAGATCTTGCATCTATAAAGAGGGTAAAAAATCTTTAGTCATTCACAGGTGGGAGAAATGGAAGGTTAAAAATGAGATGGTGCTGTTGTGTTAATAAAACAAGGTCAGACAAATGTGATTGCCTGGCTGGGTGATTCTTTTCCTACCTAGATGAATCACTTAGTTCATTTAGTGTACAGCTATCAAATTTAAAAACAAAATTTAAAGGAAAAGTGTATCTATAAAAACAGCCACCTGGAAAACTTACTTTAGGAGTTATACTGGAAGATTAAAAATCTCATACTGTTTTATGTAGTAATGTATTTCCAGTGTTGAATTTCATTTTGTTTTGGTCATAACTAAAAACTGAATGGGATTATATAATTTTACCATACCTGTATGGTACAAAAAGGAGACGTATGTAAAATCTATTTGTGAGTACAGCCTGTAGGATTCTGTAAGTGCTTTCTGACCACTCTGCTCTTTTTTTTCTCTTCAGTGTTATATATGTTTTTCTGAAAGCTCTCCCTTAAAAGATAAATAATCCACAAGGATTTACTGACTCACTGGTTAATCTATGGCCTTTAAAAATCCCCTTAAATAAATTTTTTAGATTTGTAATTGAGTCATACAGTAAATCATTATTTCATAGAGTGTGTTATATGCACTATTTATAATCATCTGTTAGACACAGTGAGATATTTATGAGTTCCCACTGAACTTATGGCATTATGTCATATAAATGTCCCCCCCCAAATATTTTTCTTTTCTCACCTTTCCTAAATATGAAAGAATTAACTAATAAACTCCTGGCATAAAGTGTTAGATTTTATTAGATGAGCTTTTGTGCAGACTTGATGTTGCCTGCAGCAGGGCAGAGGTAGAAACATTAGAAATTAGCTCAACTTCTACTTACTCAGACCAGACTCTCCAAAAGAAAGAAGTCTTTAGACTTAATTAGTGAGTCGTATGGGCTCACATAGTTCTTAAGGAGCAAATTCCACACTGCACATTCCATTGAATGGGTCTTGAATATTTGGGAGTGCCTCTGGTCTCTTCCAACAGGACATAGAGAAGGTGCTTGGTGAGTGCACTGGGTTAATGAAACCATGTTGAGCATCGACAGCATGTAGGGCAAACTAACGCTTAGCAGTTCTGATCCCTTTTGTTTGTTTGGGGGAACCACAAATAAAGATAAACATATTTAACCATATTTATGTATTATTATTCAAGCTTTGCAATTATGAGCTTCTGTGCCAGGAAGAAGAGTCATAAAACACAAAGTACATAAATTTCGCTGGGGTGTATATTCAGATATTAAAGTTGAATACATAAAGACATTATCAAAAGCTTATGGACTTAATCTGTAGTATCTGGGGAAGCTAGAGCTGATGTAGAGCTCCTCCCTGGTGATTTAAGAGGCCGGATGACCTGCACTTGATTTTATTTGGTAGAACATATTAAGTCCTTTATCACTTTTTATTGTCTTTTAGGGAATGTTTTGTTGTAAAAAAATCTCAGTTTCAACCCAGGCTTTTCTGTTCTGACATAGACAGTAAACAAATTTGATTATTCCTATTTGAGCATTGATCTTTTTCTGGATGTATAGCCTTCTATTCCTAACCAGACTAATAGGGAATTTTTCTTCTGGGCTTTTCAAAATTTACTTGATTGTGTCAGTGATTATGGTGGGATTTTATCTCTTGGTTTTCAACTTGTTTTCAAATTACTTCACTCTAAACAATTTAGCTAGTTTCATCTATCTTCTCAGAACGTTGTTAAGTGCTTAAAAAATTATTCCTTTACTTGCTGGCCCCTTCTGCATGAAAATATTACAGAAGTCCAGTAAGTGGTACTTGAGGCTATGAGCTGAGGGAAGAGGAGATGTCTTAAAGAAAGGCTCTTTCCCTGAACATGAATCCCACAATTAGAATTTCTCCTTAGTCTGCTGAGGAGCAGAAAGAAAAGAATGAACAGCAAAATAAAGATGAGACAAAGAGGTGATCCTTGTGCCTGTCGATACCACATAATAAGATGGGCTTTCTTGGATAGTTGGCTTGGCTTGGGAAACACTTTGGTTTTTTGTTTTGTTTTAAAGGTTTATTTATTTGAGAGATAGAGATAGAACGAGTGAACGATGGGAAGGGGCAGAAGGGAGAGAGAGAGAATCCTCACGAAGACTCCTTGCTGAGCACAGAGCCCGACACAGGGCTCCATCCCAGGAGCCCGAGATCATGACCTGAGCTGAAACCAAGAGTCAGATGCTTAACTGACCGAGCCACTCAGGGCCCCTGACTTTGTTTTTTATCATGGAAAAAAATCTGTCTCCTGTGCTAAGATTGTAGAACATGGTCATTGCCAGTAGCCTTAAAACTAAAGACTGTTCAAGGCAAAGTTAACCATGGCTTTACTACAGCATCTGGAAGAAAGAGCCCTACTTTTTGGATCTCTTTGACCAGAGCCAATTATTTCCTGTATAAATGTTGCCGTTTAGGTAGTATTTGTTTTAACTGACGTTGTCATGGTTTATCATGCTTTTGTGTGTTTAAACAGTTTATCTCCACACCTTCCAGTAGTTTATTTAAGAAAAAAATTCTTAAAATGGGATAGACGATGATAGTTACGTTTTGGTGTTGCAGATCCTGTGAAGCCACCTGGAGGCTCCCTACAAGCGCCGGCTGATTTACCTTTAGCTGTAAATACAGCGCCACCGTCCGCCCAGGTGGATTCATCCTCCTCTGTCGCACCGCCTCCGTACCAGCTCATTAACTTACCACCACACCTAGAAACCCTCGGCATCCAGGAGGATCCTCAAGACTACCTCTTGCTAATCAACTGTCAAAGCAAGAAGCCTGAACCCACCAGGTAAACCACAGATGCCTGTGTGTGCGTGGTGTGTGTGTGTGTGTGTGTGTGTGTGTGTACACTTAGAAATCTTACCTTTAAACTTCAATTCTGATTCGAAGTCTTAAAAGAATCCCAACTCTATAGGTTTGTATTTTAGGCTTACTATATTCAGGGTATATTCCTCTAACATTTCTGATACTCAGGAGATTTATGGAAGAAACATGTTCTCTGCTGTCTTGGCAAAGAACACTTGTACCTTCAAGGCTCTTTTGGAAATCTGTCTCCTGTTTCAGTCTTTGTTACAGACTCACAGTATTACTTGCTTAACAGATTTCACTGATTTATAAATGGTGATCTTGCTCCATTTCTTATGTGATTGTAAACCAGCCAAGGGTCATCTTTTGTTTCTGAAGAAGGAGAGGAATACCTACTACTAGAAGATTTTGAAAGCAAAACGATTCCATTGCAGTGAGTGTGTTGTGGTTGCTTTGGATCTGTGTGAGAAATTAATTATTCAGGTAAAATCCCAATATAGCAAATTCTACGGGATATACAAATTGGGTTTTAGTGAAATTTGATGAAATCAGATATATCGCTAAAAACTAAAACTTTCCGATCGTCATACCTAGAAATGAAGCAGAGCTTACTCTGACGTTACCCATTTTTAAGTAGAAAGACGGATGTGGATTTCACTGTTTGCCCAAAGGTATCATAAAGCCTTTCCAAATCATCTTCATTCCTGCTCCCTTCTTTTCTGCTAAGCTATACGATATTTTAATTTGGTCATTCTTGTCTTTGCCGTTGAGTCATTGGAAGGCCTGAGGTAACGGTGAGAATTGGAGCCAGAAAATGAAGATCAGGGAGCCCATTTCTGCCATTAGCAGCAGTGTGACAACTAGTGATGTTGGGGGTATTTACATCTTGATTTGCAATATATAAAAGTGGGAATGAATTGCATAGCAGATGTGAGAGATTTTTTTTAAACAGAATGATTGGATATTAAGCATTATTTTTTTATATCAGAAAAGATGTTGTTTTCATGGAGAATGTGACTGTTACTGGGCTAAGATCATACAAAGTGCTTGTTCAATTTTTATATAGAATTTATCAAGAACCACAGTTTAGTTGCCGTGAATTATTCCCTGAGATAATGGAATACAAATATTCCAAAGATGGGTTTCTGCATATTTGTTGTAATGGGATTTTACCTGTAAGAGCAAAAAAAAAAGAAATCTTTTTATAAATCAACACTAGTTAATAATACCAAATTCTAACTTGATTTTGCTTGTTTGCTGTGAGTATTTTAAATTACACATTCGCAACTTTGTTACTTGTGCTACTAACTAAGATTTTATTTTATGGAGATTCACAACTACCTTTCAATATCAGCTTTTTAAAAGCCAGCAGCTAAGTGGCAGTTTTCAGTACATTTTCTTTTTATATGGTATCTTTCATTGAACTCATTGGTTTTACAGCTTTCCTGTTGCACTAGAAATTATGCTCAGAGTCCTTGCTCAGATATATTTTGTATCTATATTTTGCAGAAATGACAGATAATTGAGAAATATTTATGAAGTACCCACTGTGTGCCCATTCTTTTGCTGGGTGCTGTGAAGGTACAGACTAATTACGTAAGATACAGCCCCCTCAGATACAGTCCCTTCAGAGTTTTAAGTGAAGCTTTTGAAGAAGTCAGAACATGGAAGTGTTAAGTGTTTGTACATGAATTCAGGAGAATTGCCTTGCAAACTCTTACTCACCCTGCAGGTCTCAGCTCAGGCATGTACTCCTCTAGAAAACATTCCCCCAAACTTCCGGGCTGGACTAAATGCCTGTCTGGGTTTTCATAGCATCCTGGTTATGCCTCCTTATCCGTGTTTTATCAGAGTTGGAAATAGCTTGATATTTTAATTTATTCTTCACTAAAATATAAGCTACTCAAGGGCAGGGAACTTAGTACTCCTTGTACTTCTAACATTTCTTAACTCACTTGTTTGAATTCAATGAAATGCAAATGTTAGAATATGTGTAGTTGCATTAGAAATTCTTAGAAGGGACAGTGCAAGTATTTTTAACATGGAGGGTGAAATGCTTCAAAGGAAGAGTAAGATTTGAACTACATTGGTTGGTGAGAGGAAAGGACCCCGTCATTTGCAATCTGCATAAAATTATTTGAGGGAAAGGCAAGGTAAAAGTGAGGCATGGGAGGAAACGAATTAAGAGGGGAATTTGCCTGGACTAGAGGGTTCCATGGGAGGAGAGTAGGACAGAAGATCGGCAAGCCAGATGGAGTCAGCGATGGTAGTCTTGGAACCAAGTGGAGGTGCTTGTGAGCTTCTTATAGTTCCCACAGCCTGTTGGGACCCTTACAGGATTTTCTCCAAGTAGATGAGTGAGAAAACCATGTTCTGAATATACTGACCTTATAGCAATATAGCAGTATGGTCCCTTGGATTCATTGGAAGAAGGAGAAACTGGAGGAAAGAAGTCCACTAGGATTCTTAGGAGGGTTTAGTGGTGTGAATCTTAGCAGAGACCTGGATCTGAATGTGAGGTGGTGACAGTGGGAATAGAGCAGGGGTATAGTTAACTTGGTTAGAAGGACTTGGTGCCTCATTGGTGATTCATTCATCCAAGAGAATGAATCAAAGCTGATAGTGTTTTGAGCCTCAAGATTCTGGATAAAGACATTTCTTTTAATGGCAAGTCAGAAAGGACAATCAATTTGAGAAGTAAGTTGAGTTTGGTTTGGTACACAAAAGCAAGGTAGCATTGAGATAACCAAGCAGAATAATATTTTAATGCTCTGAAAATGTGGGACTCGAGGTGAGAAGATGGGAGTTGTTGGCATTTGAATGGAAGGTGAAGTTACAAGAAAGGAGGATCTTTAAATGGTGTCTGTGGTAAAGCATAAGAAGACTGAATTCTGTTGGCTGTTCCCAGGTAGAGACCCAGGAAGAAGGAGCCAGTCAGCGAAAGAAGGGAATGATCAGTGAAGAAGGGAAATGAGGGTGTTGCAGTAAGACACCAGAGGCAGAAAGTTTGAGTGGATAAATGTGATACACAGTGCCAGGTGTTACTAAGAAATCAAGGAAGATCAGACCTTAAAAAGTCTATCATAAGTTGTTTTTCAGAAGATTGAGTTCAAGTTCCTACAGGACTTTGGACAACACTCACAGTAGTTAAAGGTACCTTGTTAACCATTAAGGAAGTGCATGCAGCGTGCTGGTATCATCAGCTTCACTTTGGCTTCTACCCAAATTTTGTGATACCACAAAAGAGACTAGAAATGTACCCAAAACATTAAACATACTCAAATAAGAGTTTTCAAGGTTAATTACTTTTTAGAATTGGCCATCTTTGTGGCTTGTATTTTGAACATCTTTATAGTATTGGCTAAGAAAAAGAACAGAATCTTTCAAGTTGCCACCTCCTTGGAGGTCACATTGGATTTCTGCCATACCAGGTAATCATTAGACTGTTAGTCTTCTAGAACAACAGTTTCCAGAGGTAGGCTGAATGATGAGCAATGGACCAACTTGATAAACTGTATTGGCACGAGGGTTCTGCATGCTCTTCAGAGGAAATGCTTTTCCTTGTGTCTGTGCCTTAATCATTTACCTTTCTCAGAGTTTTGTATCTTTCTAATTCCAGTGCCTCAGGGATCATGGTTTTATGTGTGGATTTAATAGGTGGAGTTGGGGGTGTGGGCCGGTACAGGATAGGAATTAGGGAGAATGCTTTTGGTGTTCTTGTGGTGGTGGTTTTGTTGTCTGGTGTATAATCATAAAAAGTAAGAAATATTCATGCTTTCAATCTTATGGGTCGCCCAAAAAATCTAATGAAAAACGTGTATTTTGATTGTTATGCTATTGATACATTTATTAAAATGTAGCCGTATGTATTCACCATGTTTTGTTTTCTGTCATTAACAATTTTTATTTAGAACACACACTGATTCTGCAAAATCCACCTCTTCTGAAACAGACTGCAATGATAACGTCCCTTCTCATAAAAATCCTGCTTCCTCCCAGAACAAACATGGAGTGAATGGCTTTTTTCAGCAGCAGATGATGTATGACTCTCCGCCGCCTCGTGCTGCATCTGTTTCTGTAGACTCCAGCCTTTATAACCTGCCCAGGAGTTACTCCCACGATGTTTTACCAAAGGTGTCTCCATCGAGTACTGAGGCAGATGGAGAACTCTATGTTTTTAATACCCCATCTGGGACATCGAGTGTAGAGACTCAAATGAGGCATGTATCTATTAGTTACGACATTCCTCCAACACCTGGTAATACTTATCAGATTCCACGAACATTTCCAGACGGAACTTTGGGACAGACGTCAAAGCTAGACACTATTCCAGATACTCCTCCACCGCGGCCACCGAAACCACATCCAGCTCATGACCGGTCTCCTGTGGAAACGTGCAGTATCACACGCACGGCCTCAGATACTGACAATAGTTACTGTATCCCTACAGCAGGGATGCCACCATCACGTAGTAATACCATTTCCACTGTGGATTTGAACAAATTGCGAAAAGGTCAGCTCTAACTGGCTTCTACTGTGTTAGAGGTTAATGACAGAAAATCGGCTTATCTGAATATTTGTTCTTTGTAGCATAGTATGATGTTAAATGATAGTCCTTTTTTTTTTTCCAGCTCTGCAGTTACCCACTCATGTAGTGAAGATATCAGAGTCTCTGTAGCTCGTTGGAAGGGTGTTGGTGCATGTAGCGTGTGCCTGTGTGCGTGGTCTGCTGGAAGGGAGAAAGACTTGGAGTTTTTCACCCCTGAAGAAGTATGGCCTTAGTAATACCTTCCTGCCTCAGGAAGTGTGCACCCCTCTTTCCTGCTTTCCATGTATCCTGGGTGGGTTGACTCTCTACTGGAGCAGAGGAGCAGGAAATGGACCAGCCACAAAGCCCCTCCGAATCATCCCTTTCCTGTATTTTTGTGCCATTATGGCTGCTTCTATGTCACATCTGCTGGGCTCCGTTTCCTTCCTTCCTCAGTAAGCAATTTATACGTTGTGTCTAACAAGAAGACTCCTTTCCAGTCATGCCATTCTGCTTTTGTTTGGTTTTATTTATTTCTAAAGCTTGTGATCTTCTCTCCCCTTACCCTAGCCACTTCACTTAGTCCTATACCATCTCCTAGAGTCTGCTGAAAGTTACGACCTTGAGAGGAGAAAAACTCGGTCTGGCATACACTCTGACGTTCTTAAAGTCCTAGAAATAGAAGGCCAGTGTTTAAGATGCACATACCCTAAAAACTATGTGCTAATGTTTTTGTATTTTGTTGATAGAGTTACCCACCTGTCCTAAAGAAAATAAAGATTTAATGCATCACAAAGAGTACTAATAGGGAGACTTCATTTAGCCATTCAGTACCAATTTCTGATTCTCTTCATGAAGTGGCTCTGTAATCAGATTATCGGTTAGTGAGATAGAAGTTGGGCCCAAGGTGGTACAGAAGATGAGGAAAAAAAAAGTATTTCTTTTCTCGGTCTTTTTTTTTTTTTTTAAGATTTTATTTATTTATTTGACAGAGAGACACACAGCGAGAGAGGGAATACAGGCAGGAGGAGTAGGAGAGGGAGAAGCAGGCTTCCTGCAGAGCAGGGAGCCTGATGCCGGCTTGATCCCAGGACCCTGGGATCATGGCCGGAGCTGAAGGTAGACGCTTAATGACTGAGCCACCCAGGTGGCCCTTTTCTGTCTTTAAATAACCCAGCATCCTGGGCTTAGACATTCATTCATTGTCGTAATCAAATGCTGGTACTGGTTAGCATATTAGTGAGTGTCTGCATTTCCTAGTGATTTAAGGTACCCATTCGGGATATTATTCTGTGAGGATCTTTTTAAAAATCTGTGTGTGCGCGCATACCTGCACACGTGTGTAAAAAAAGAGAACAGACCATTCTGAGAACTGGCAAAGATGGGAAGAAATGCTGATCATTTGTTTTCTATTTTAGATGCTAGTTCTCAAGACTGCTATGATATTCCACGAACATTTCCAAGTGACAGATCTAGTTCGCTTGAAGGCTTCCATAACCACTTTGTAAGTATAACTGATCTTGGCGTCATCAAGTGTATTTCGCTCTCAGGATCTTCACATTCAGTGCTCTGAAATTAAATGAGATCGTTTCATATGATCTATATGAATATGTGTGACATAACTTTGTCTTCCTTTTTGTTAATAGTTTCTGTTTATTAAAAGAAATGTATGTGTGTTTTAGAAAATCAAAAATATATTGACAGTGGGAAGCGTATCAAGTGAAGAACTAGATGAAAATTACGTCCCAATGAATCCCAATTCTCCTCCACGACAACATTCCAGCAGTTTTACGGAACCAATTCAGGAAGCAAATTATGTGCCAATGACTCCGGGAACATTTGATTTTTCTTCATTTGGAATGCAAGTTCCTCCTCCTGCTCATATGGGCTTCCGGTCCAGCCCAAAGACCCCTCCCCGAAGGCCAGTTCCTGTTGCAGACTGTGAACCACCCCCCGTGGATAGGAACCTCAAGCCTGACAGAAAAGGTAAGGAGGGCATGACATAGCAAATGGGTTGGGGGGTGGGAGGGTGCCTGCTTAGATCTGCACTTAACTGTCATAAAATCCCAAATGGATTTGGGACTAGAAGTTCCAAAGTAATTCATATTACCTTAGTTATCAACTTGTCTTAAGTGTGGTATTGATATTTGTAGATTAAGAGTTGTTATATGTTGATGCCCAGGTGAGGTTTCTGTCTCCTGTCTCTAGAGCAGAGGTTACAAACTAAAATAGTCCCAAGGTTTGGCAAGCAACAGGAGAAAATGAGAAACTGGAATCCACTTGCCCATTCTAAATGGAGTAACTAACTGCTCCTTGGCTGTAATCCTTTGTTGACTTGTGAAAATAATATGGGCCCATATGGCCAAATCATCTGATATATCAGGAGAAGGCAAAAATTTCATCTCTTATATGTATTATCTTTTGATTTTTGAGTGTGATCTGCTAGTTTAATTTAAAAACAAAAACCAAAAAACACCTCAGACCAAACCAAACAACTTGTAGAGGCTGGATATAGTCTTTGGCTGCTGTTTTGTAACCTCTTCTCCAGAATATATAATATCAAATCAGACAGAGATTATTAGTGCATTTGACGTAATTCTTAAAGAACAATGAGGCTGCTTGTACAATCTTTCCAGTCTGTCTGTATAACAGCTTCTTAAAAATGATTCTGCTTTTGCTGGGGTATAAATGCTTCTAGTCTGTTCCTTCATACTGGCCTTCATAAGTAACATTAAATTCTAGGGTAGCATGGTTTGTTAAGAATTCAGTATAAAAGAGACTCCAAACTGGTAATATAGACTCGGGTTTTTGTATTTTGGGTTTGAGTGGTCAAAACCCGGACAACTAGCTGTGTTGCAGCATGCCGTTAGTGTGATTTAATCTTGACAACCAAATAAGTTAGTATATTGGCTTGTGTGATGAGTTGGCGCCGTTTCTGGGGAATTCAGCACATTTGAAGTCTCCTGTGCTGTACATAGCTTTTTAAGGGCACGTAATATCAGTGTAAATTTCTCATTAATCTGGGTTTTTAGATCATTAGTATATTTCTAATTAAGTTCCAATTGTACGGAACAGAGTCTGAGACCTCTTCCGAGTATCTGAAGAAAATGAGTTTTGTTTTGTTTTGCCTTTAAGTAAGTAAGTAAGTAAGGCTGGTCCTATGCTAAAATGAGAAAATTTACTGAGAACAGAAGCACTCCCAAGGGACCGTCACTTTGTCCTGTTGTCTGCATTTCTGTCTTGTGGGAAGCCTTTACATCTGCTTTGTTCTGTCTCACATTCTGTCCTTCTTTTCTGTTTCCTGTCCTGTATCCTCTACTTGGTTTCTGCCTTCCAGGAGCTGTGGCTGACAACTCCCCATTGTGGCGTCACTTCTGCCTCCTGGCTCCTTTTTACATGGGTGCACCTTCTGCACCTGCTGCCTCCGTCATTGTTCACTCACTGTAGAGTGCTCACAGCGAATTGGATTGCTCTTACTTGTCTTTTCACACCAGGCCATATGACAGATTGTAGGCCAGCCCACAGATTGGCTGCCGCTGGTCAGCTGCCCACCTTTGGTCTGACGGCTAGAAAGATAGCCACACATAACACCCATAGCCACCCAGACAGCCCGAGCAGCGGGGCTGTAATCAGGGGTGGTTATCTTAGAAAGGGTATGAGCATCACAGGCTTTTTATTTGACAACTTTTCCTTTTGCTTCTCTTTGTCCACATCTGTCTTTAAATCTATTTAGGCATTATTAGTCATTTTCCTTGCATACAAAATGCAGAAGTATCTTTAGACATGCATAGATTTGTAACTGAGTTCACAGGTTGCTGAAGGATTAAGGTCCAAGTGTTATGAACTCTCCGCAATACTGAAATATTCATTTTTAATGCTAAACTGGTTCTTTACTTACTACTTAGTGCATGTGAGCAGCAAATCTCTACTTTTTTTTTTAAGATTTATTTTTTTTTATTTTAGACCGCAAACAAGCATGTGAACACAGGTGGAGGGAGGGGTAGAGGGTGAGAAACTTCAAGCAAATACCCCCTGTTGAGCGCGGAGCCCACCCAGGGCTGATCTTATGACCCATTAAATCATGACACTTAACCAACTAAGCACCCAGGTGCCCCAGCAGATCTCTGCTTTTTAACCCCAAATGTAAGTTTTATATCTGGAAGCCCTACGTAAATGTGGAGGTGATATTGTTAGGGCAAGTGTGCAAGGCCCTGAGTTCTACCTGCTGTGCTTCTCTGCCTGCCCCTTCCTTTCCTCAGGCTCCGCAGAACACAGTTCGAAAATTCCCGATATATTTCACAGTTAGGGATTACACATGGTAAACCTAAGGAATACTCAGAAAACGTCCCTATTTATATGTTAGAGAAGTTTTACGATCATAATGATATGTGTTTAGTGTTCTCTAGGTCTGATAGAGCTCATGTGCCTCATATGATATATATCATTTTATGTATATATCATCATATGGCATGTATACTATATATCATTTCTATTACATTTATGTATAATTATACCTCCCTGTGTTATAGTGAAAGTACTATATATTCTAGTACAGTAGCGATTAATTGCCTGAGGTTTCTAAACCAACCTAAAGTGACCTTACAGTAGAACAGAACGAAGTAGGTTCTTGGTTACTTCTGGAGGTTGCATTTAGGCTTTTACCAAATTAAGTGAACTCTTGAGAGACAGTCCTGAACTCATTGGCCAGGTTGTTTATTTGGTATCTATGCTTAGACACAGAATGAACTGAGAAAGCACCTGGAATAAAATACATAGTTTTTGGCAAAATCAAAGAGAATAGGTTTAGCAAAACAGGGGAGGTTACTAAAATCATAGTAATTAAAAAAAAAAGGTTTTGCTTTTCTTTTAGGACTGTTCTGCTTTTTAAATAAATATAAGAGAGAAAGCATGAGAGACTATTTAACTTAGCAATCTTTGTCAACTCACTTTAGGAAGTTATAACTATTCAAGAAGAACACATTGAAAACCCAAATTCAGATCTTGGAGCAGTTTATCTTTAAAAAACTTAAATTGTAGGGGCACCTGGGTAGCTCAGTCGGTTAAGTATCCAATTCTTGATTTGGCTCAAGTCATTATCTCAGGATCATGGGATCGAACCCCATGTCTGGTTCCACACTCAGCATGGTGTCTGGTTGGGATTCTCTCTCCCTCTCCTTCTGCTTCTCCACCAACATAAGCCTCCCTGCCCAATGCTCTCCCACTCTCCCTTGCTAAAATAAATAAATATATCTTTGAAATAAATAAATAAAAACTTAAACTGTAAAATGTCTTATTTGGTCTTGAAATTCTTCACATGCATAGCATCAGATGAGTCTGTTTTACTTCTAGATTTTGTGACATCAGATACATGACTCAATCTGTTCTACTATCTCTTAATTAACTATACCTCACAATTAGCAAACCTGATTCTATCGAATACAGCTTGATTAGTTTCAGAGCCCAATATAACTAGTTCAATACCCAGTGTAACCAATTACTGTGATTGTCTTCTTTGAAAGAGTCTACAATAAATGAGTGACATTCTAGTCTTATTTATACCCCCAATTATAGATGTCAGCTGCTGTAGTTAGCAGTACAGATAAGTTTTTCAAATACTTTTGGGTAATTGAAGCTTCAGAAATGCATAGATGTTCTAAACCCTTATGTTTAATGTATTTTCATGGACCTTTTTCCCCATCACCCAACTTGTGGTAGCTATATTTTCACCCCTACTATTTCTGTCACAACAGTATTTGTTACAAACCAAGTTTTGTGTAATATTAATAGAGGAGAAAAGCTTAATTTGCATATATTAAATATAGGAAAGCAGATAAGTCATTGTAAATGCAGGACAAATTATGTTTTGATTGCTTCAGCCGAAAGTTACATTTTAATTGAAGAGTAAGTTTATAAAGTTTTGGAAACTTCTGTAAGATATCTATAGTGGCTTCTCTTAAAGTAAGTCATTACCTGAATCTACCATATTTAACCGCTGCACTTATCTAGGCCCTCTACCCCCATCCAGTCTTCTAACATGATGTGGCAGCCATTGGAGCCTCAGACACGATCTTCATACTTTGTTTTGTTTAGCTTTGTCCAAGCATGGCTTTCTGCAGTAATTATATCGTGACAAAGCAGTGAAAAGCAGTGTGGAAAAGCCGTACAGGTTTACTGCTGGTGTTTTTGTACATTAGTTGGCTTAAAGTATCTTTGGGTATGATCTTCACTTTCAGTATAGGAAGCATCCAGAAGACCAGTCTGGACAAGCTTCCCTAGATAGGTCCTTTTGACGAAGTTGACCTATTTGCTCTAGACGTTTTTTTGAGAGATCTTCTGAAGTTTTTGAATGTGATTAAAAATAAACATGCTTTTTGTTCCTTTTTTTAAATTAATATGCTTTTTAAAAACTACTTTTATACTGTAATAAGTGTTTGGGAGATGGATGAGTGACACTAGTAAATATAACTAGATTTTAATAAACAAGTATTAAGTTTGAATCTCAAGTCAGATTTGTGGTTTGGTGTTGCAGTTTAAAGGAAATACAAATGGGATACATTTTTGGGGTGCCTGTCTGGCTTAGTCAGAGGAGCATGTGACTCTTGATCTCTGGGTCTTGAGTTTGAGGCCCACGTTGGGTGTAGAGATTACTTAAATAAATAAAAACTTTGAAAAAACAGAATGGAGTGTATTTTTATATCATAGCCTTTACATGCAGATTGTTTCTCCTAAATACTCTTTACCTTCCAATATATAAGTATCATTATTATGTTCTTCATATAGTCAGACCATTACAACAAATGTAAAAGTTTTTCAATATACTACCTGGATTAGTATTTGGAATTATCAGAGGATATTAATGTTGTGAATTATCGTTCTTCTTTCTTGATTTTTGAGATGCTCAATGGAAATAGTATAATCTATAAAACTGTGGAAGAGTAAATAATTCAGGCTAAGTTAAACCTGTAGTAATACAGAACATAAACTTTCCACTTTGTGTTGAATTTATGTAAGCAGTACCTATGAAAATAATACTTGATAGTGTATGGACTTTGCAAAAAAGATTGCATCTGCTTATTTGAAACATGACCTCATGTGATTGCCTTGAGCATACTTGGGATTATCAACTTTTGAAACCACATTCAGTTGCTCTCTTTTTTCCCACTTAAAGGACCAGCAAAAAATTATGATATTGATCAGATTAAACACCACCAGCTTTAAGAGACCTGCAGTTCATCAACATAGATTTAAGTGCCTACCAGTTATAGGATCTATCCTTTGCTAGTCCTTGGTCTCCAAACACAGGAAGAAAAGGTGGCTTCCCTGAAGAAGCTCACTGTCTAGTGGAGGAGGTAGAAAGTAAACACATTATCATAACTGGCGTGGAAGGAGCTGTGGTTGAGGTAAGCTTTTGGCACTGTTATCTAAGCTCCCCTGAGGAAAGTCTGAGAGAGTGAATGGCAATTAAATGATGGTAGAGGAGGAGAGGATGGCAAAGGACCTTTTAGTCAGAATAAACAGCATACCCAGATCCTTTAAAAGAGGGCAGATGGGACTGGCTGGGTTGTGAGTGGGAGGGAGGGAATAAGATAGGGAGGGAGGAGGGGAGCAAAGTATGAATGGAGGAAGGAATGCCAAATGCCTTGCAGGTGCCTGATCCTGAGGGTGTTATAGGCCATGCTAATGAGTTGGGGCTTTATTCTGAGTACACCATTAAAGGGTTTTATGCAGGCAAGTAACATAATCAGGTTGGCCCCTAGAAAGCTCATTCTAAAATTTAAGATAGGACAAGATGGGTAGGATAAAATTTAAGTTGATAGGAAAAAAGACTGTTCTCTTATGTAAAATGTTAAAAAAAAATCACATTTTTTTTCAGCATCTTCCTCAAAGAGTGCTTTGCTTGGTTTTCCAAATCCAGGGTTCTTAAAGCCTTGGTTTAGAAATGATCAAATAAGGAAAGGCGTAACAGAGCCCCTTTCCTGGCTCTTATTTGGTCCCTCAACTTGGGGATTTACAGTGATTTTAAAGGTCTGAAGGCATTTGGAGGACAGCTGGCAGTTATTTAGCCGTACAGTGTGAGCTCCTCACTTTGAGAAAAACAAACCAGGTAAGTGAGGTACACATTAGAAGCAGGAAAGTTTTAAGAAAGGACTTGAGACTTGCAGATTTTTCATTTTCTTAGGTAAATGAAAACAGACTATTATATTGTCATTATAAATATAAATTAAAGTTTATAAAATAAAGATTAGAGAAAGTAGAATTTAGAAGGACTTCTAAGAGATCTGCAGTGGCAACTAGTAATCGAGGAAACAGCAGGTCTGTGGTGAGTCAGAGGAGAAATTGCATTTTGAACATGCATTGTGAGCACCTGCAGAACAGCCAGAGAGGTTGGTTGTGTAAATGTGTAGCTTAAGATTTCCAGAGGAAGATCTGAACCAGGATGAAGATGTGTCAACTTGTACTCCATGTTAGGGAGCAAGTCACTGAGCCAGAGATTGCGCCCCCCCCATAAGGATTAAAACATAGGGGGAGTTTCGCCCCTAGTCAGTGCTCTCTGCTAAATGACGTAATGTTTTTCTTTGTTCAAAGGTAGTCTAGCTAAAGCCAAGTTGTAATCTGCTTTGAATTTAAAAGTTGAGGCTCAAATGAGTTACTCTGTTTACTCTCAGAATTTGAGAATCTGTGTATCCCCAGAGTTGGTTTATTTTTGCCTTTACTTTCTTATGCTTATTTCTTACTCTTTATTTTCACCCTTTTCTTGGTCAGGAAAACATTCAAATATTTGCTATTAGATAGTAGAGAGGAAGACAGGCCCAAGACAGGCGTCCTAACACCTGGGGCCTTTTTTCCACCTTTTTTCTCTCACAAGTAATACCAAGCCATCATTTGGGTACAACTTACATTTCTATCTGGAACATCAGTGTCAAACTGAGTTTGGAGGGATATAAAGAAATAAAGCTGACAAAATGTCTGAGTTGACTCAGTATGATTCAGTGCCACACTTCTAAATTTCGATTTTCATCCCAAAACCAACCTTGAGCCTTGCATGGAATGGAAAATACATATAAATTTTGTAAAAACACTTTTAAAACCTCATTTGATACAGTATTTTTCTATTAGGAAAACCAAGGAGTACCCTCGGGAGTGCCTGACAGATGGAAGTGGTTTAGAGAAAAGATGGTCGGTTCAGGGTCAGGTAGTAAAAGGATCTCTGTGGGGAGCTGTGGGACAAGGGAAGAATGGAACTAGTTCACAGGCAGGTGGAGTTAGCAGTCACAGGATCTTGAGTATTTAATCACCAACAAAGATGAAGATACCAGGTATACAAAGCTGAGAAGTGTGGAGGGTGACTGCTGGGGGAGAAGAACAGTGATAAATCGGAAGGAAGCCCAGAGTTAATGAACGTGGGTCTTTCAGAAAAGGAGGAGGGCAGAAGACACATTGAGGGAATACCAGCGAACCAGAAGTCACCCAGAAAAGCAATTATTAAACTTCACGTCACTCACGGATCAACTACCTGTGGCATTCAAGTAGATGTAAGATCTCAAACTGAACTGAACAGTTCAAAACTGTCCTCTAAACACTGGTTTCCTAGGATATTTGATTGTCCAAAAAGCTAGAGAGATAAAACAGTGTGGACAGCACAGGAGCATACACCAGCAGGTGCGAGTCTAGGGGAGCCTTCATTTGGCCTCTATAATCAATGCTGTGACCCAAGCAAATTACTTAACCTTTTTTGTTCTTCGGGGTATCTCATCCATAAAATGAAGAAGCTGGATTTGATCTGTAAAAGCCTTTTAGCTGTAAAATAAGTGTATTTTTCTGTAGCAACCCTTACCTTCTGCCTCTTACTCTTTTTGAAGGGAAGTACATTGTATTGGGGACTTTATAAAAAAGCTGACCTCCGTTGTTTTTAGGAAAGTGCCCTGCCAGCGTGGGCCCAGGATAGGTATTCAGCATTAGGGGTAGGATTACAGCCCCAAATCTTATCACTCACATTTTAAACTAGACCTGCCTCATTTCTCAATAAACTCAATGTATTAATTGCCTAACTTAGAAAATTGGTTCATTAGAGAATTCTCACATGTTATAACCTAGAGATTCATATTTTAAGAAACTTCACACCTTCGGTAGATAAGGTACTAGATATTAGCACTTATTCAGCAAATTCTAATCTTGCCATCTAATAGATGTCGATTCAGTTTTGTAAATGCCAAAAATGATGAAAATTTGGTGCCATTGAGAAAAGAGCAACTTAAATTACTGGTTTAGATGATATTGCTACTCTGGCTTCCAGGCTCCTGTGGGAAAAAGGGAGGCCACTGCTGGATGTTAACCCCTTACTTTTCATAAGGCTTTTTTTCAGCAGCACTTCTTTGTGGCAGAGAATAAATGAAAAGAAAATGAAGGCAACTGAATTTATGTTTTCAAATACTTACATCAAGGCTAGACAATCAGTAGTTCCAGAATTAAGACATCTAATCCTTGCAAAATGACATCCCTGGGTAGCTACCAGTATCCAGGGGAAACAAACAGTGGTCTTGGTTTTGATCTTGGATTAGCAAACATTGTACCACCAACCTGCTTCCCTAGGAGGGCTTTTGGTCAGGAGGTCAAGGAGTAGTCAGATTAAGGTTTTTTAAATACCTCCATTAAATTAAGCAAGAAATATTATAGGGAAGTAGGCCTTGGTACTTTCTTATCAGACTTCAATGAAAAGATGTACTTTGAGGTATGACTGAGATATTTTATAATTTTTTGTTTGATCCAGTTTTCTAAGGCATGTTAGAAGAATAACTAACATGGCACATGTCTTTCCTCCCTTCCTCCAAATAAAGGTAACCACTAAACAGTCTGGTTATCCCACTAAAACTTTAGCATCCTTTATAACACTTGGCTTGTCACACTGTTGCATGAAGCTTCTTCCTTTCCATTGTACTGAGCATGATTGATATGTAGCAAGATTGAAATATTCTCCACAAACAATCTTTTGTATATGCTTTTGAGATGTAACATTTCTGCTCAGGGCTCTGTTGCTTTTTTACAGAATCCATTTTCCAATTAAAAAATAACATATTAAGAGAGTCTTCTTTTTACCAATTAGGTCAAAGTCCTAAAATTTTAAGACCCAAACCCCATGGTTTAGAGCGAACTGATTCACAAACCATAGGTGACTTTGCTACAAGGAGAAAGGGTATGTACATTAGCACCGCATGCTGGATGGGGCATTGGGAATTTATTTTGTGGTGGTTTTTTCTTAAAAAAGTTAAGGAGAAGAGCCTTAAGTACGACTGCTGTTGTGAATAAAGCTTCTTAGCACGTTATTTCTAAAGTGAATGCTTCTTGTAATGTGTGTCTTCCTATTGTGTCTTTTCATAGACACAAGTCTACTTGTTATGCCATTAACAGCAGCATGTTAAATTTGATAATATTTAGTCTTGTCCTTTTGCATTATTCTCTTAACCTTTTGGACATCAATACATTGTTTGCTTTAAGCTTGTGATCTACTTGTGAGTTCCAAATGCCTCCTTTATTTATATGTAACGTGCTGTGTATTCTGTCCTGAGACAAAATACAGAATCACTTCCCATGGATTAATTCTTTATGCCATTACTTAGAATTTGACAGGTAAATTGCCAGTAGCCTTTGGGTTTCAAAAAAAGTGAAACATAAGAGTTAAAGAATTACATTCACTAAGCACAGTATTCTGTGCATGTCTATTTTAAGTGTATAGGTGAGCAAAATTTAAACTCAGACTTAATCTAGTCTTCAGAAAAATCACATTGAGTTTTTTGTTTTAAATAGACAAAAATACTCTAAGCCCAGTGAATCTACATAGTCCTTTTAAATGACCACCTATTTTATAGTTTGATGGTAGTTATAACATAGTTGGTTAAAAGTATGAGGTGAGAAAAAGTATGTCCATATATGGACAAAAACTAGAAGAAGAAAACCTAGAAAAGTGAATTTTTTTTCTTTGGAGTGGCATGATGAAAGGTAAAGTATTTACCTAATATGTTTAAATAGTCTCCCAAAATATAATTCATATTAACAGATAGTTTTAGTTATTTAGTTCATTTAGTTAATTTCTGAAAAATGTTTTATTCTTTAAGGGCTGAGAGCTCTGTGGTATTTACTAGCATGGTAATTATCTGTTGTAATAATGAGGTAAATAAGCAAAGACCACTTATAAATGAAGCCAATAAGAATATTAGTGTTTATTATTATTTAATTTGGTAAAGAATATTGTTGGTTAAATAAGCTAAAAATTCAAGGTAATTTTTAATAATGGTCTCTCAGAGCTGAGTTTGAGTCTCAAAATAATATTATTGCTTTCTTTTATTTGTTTTCAGACTGGGCTTGAATTAGTTTAAAAGAGTTGGTCACTTCTTTTTTCAATTTTTGATTTTAGCAGAGTTTGGTATTTAATACCTTCGATACATCATTTTATGTATATAGTTGTATAACTGATGCTTCAGTGTTGGAGAATAGAAATGTTCTTACATAGAAGATGAAAGCTCCATACTTGGGGATCAAAATACTTTTTTTAAAAAAAGGAAATATGAAATGTATACATCAAGTAACTAAAGGAATTGGGTCACATTACCCTTTCTTCTCATTTAGTTTATTTTCATAAAATATTAAATTAAGAAGTAACGTGTTATGATAGAGCTTTAGACTGTGAGTCAACAACCATGAAACATTATTGAATTTAGCTTTTGTCGCTAATTATTTAGCGGTGTCACCTTGGGCAAATCCTGTAACATCAGCTCATTTCATGTGTGAAACCAGCTGGTCTTAGGTGTACTCTGGCTATAACATATAAGTAGAGCGATAGAGTGAGGATCTTGTTTTGTTTTCCAAATTTCTGTGTACTGAAGCCTCTTTTTCTCTCTTTCATTTCAGTCAAGCCAGCACCTTTAGAAATAAAACCTTTGCCGGAATGGGAAGAGCTACAAGCCCCAGTTAGATCTCCCATCACTAGGAGTTTTGCTCGAGAGTAAGTGTTTGTTTAAAATATGTACCTTGATTGGTCACTGTAATGGAAAATAACTGGAACAGTGGTTCCCAAAATATGGTCTGGAAAACCTGCCTTTTTGGGGTTCTGTGAAGTCAAATTCTCATTAAGATGCCACGATGTCTTTTGCCTTTTCCACTCTTTTTCTTTCACGAGTATTTGCCAGAGTTTTCCAAAGGCTACATAGTGTTTAGTCATATCCCTGGGACAGATAATAAATAGAAAATATTTGTATACTCTTGTGGTATTTTTTGTTTGTTTTTATGTATAAGTCTTTTTTAAATTCAGTTAATTAACATATAATGTCTTACTAGTTTCAGAGGTAGAGGTCAGTGATTCATCAGTCTTATATGTTACCCAATGCTCATTACATCACATTCCTTCCTTAATGTCCATCCACCCAGTTACCCCATCCCCCCACCTCCCTTCCCTTCAGCAGCCTTCAGTTTGTTACCTATGATTAAGAGTTTCTTATGGTTTGTCTCCCTCTCCGGTTTCATCTTGTATGATTTTTTCTTCTCTTCCCTATGATCCTCTGTAAATTTTACATATGAGTGAGATCATATGATAATTCTGTCTCTGATTGACTTATTTAGCTTAGTTTGAGTTCTGTCCACATCCTAGCAAATGGCAAGATTTCATTTTTTTTTTTTTTGGATGGTGGAGTAATATTCCATTGTATATACATATATACCACATCTTCTTTATCCATTCATCTGTTGATGGACATCTAGCCTCTTTCCATAGTTTGGCTATTGTGGACTTGTGGACAGTGCTGCTATAAATATTCCAGGTGCACTTGCCCCTTCAGATCACTACATTTGTATCTTTGGGGTAAATACCCAGTAGTGCAATTGCTGGGTCATAGGGTAGCTCTATTTTCAAATTTTTGAGGATCCTCCATACTGTTTTCCAGACTGGCTGTACCAGCTTGCATTCCCACCAGCAGTGTAAAAGGGTTTGCCTCTCTCTACATCCTCTCCAACATCTGTCATTTCCTGACTTGTTAATTTTAGCCATTCTGACTGGTGTGAGGTGGTATCTCATTAAGGTTTTGATTTGTATTTCCCTGATGCCAAGAGATGTGGAGCACTTTTTCATGTGCCTGTTGTCCATTTGGGTGTCTTTTTTGCAGAAATGTCTGTTCATGTCTTCTGCCCATTTCTTGATTGGATGATTTGTTCTTTGGGTGTTGAATTTGAGAAGTTCTTTATAGATTTTGGGTACTAGCCCTTTATCTAATAAGACATTTGCAAATATCTTCTCCCATTCTGTCTGTTGTCTTTTGGGGTTTTTGTTTTTTTTTTCCTGTTTCCTTTGTTGTGCAAAAGCTTTTGTCTTGATAAAGTCCCAGTAGTTCATTTTTGCCTTTGAAGATATGTCTAGCAAGAACTTGCTATGTCTGAGGATGAAGAGGTTGCTGCCAGTGTTCTCTAAGAATTTGATGGAGTCCTGTCTCACATTTAGGTCTTTCATCCATTTTGAGTCTATTTTTGTGTATATGGTGGTATAAAGTGGTCAAGTTTCATTGCTCTGCATGTGGCTGTCCAGTGTCTGGAACACCATTTGTTGAAGAGACTGTCTTTTTTTCCACTGGACATTCTTTCCTCCTTTGTCGAAGATTAGTTGACCAAGAATTGAGGGTCCATATCTGGGCTCTCCATTCTGTTGCATTGATCTATGTGTCTGTTTTTGTGCCAGTACCATACTGTCTTGATGATTACAGCTTTGTAATAGAGCTTGAATTCCGGGAGTATGATGCTACCAGCTTTGGTTTTCTTTTTCAACATTCCTTTGGCTATTTGGGGTCTTTTCTGGTTCCTTAACACATTTTAGGGTTATTTGTTCAATTCTGTGAAAAAAGTTGATATTTTGAAGGGGGTTACAATGAATTGCTCTAGGTAGCGTAGACATTTTAACAATATTTGTTCTTCCAGTTCACGACTCGGAATGTTTTTCCATTTCTTTGTGTTGTCCTCAATTTCTTCCATGAGTGGTCTATAGTTTTCAGAGTTTTTCTGTAGAGTTTTCTGTAGATCTTTGCTTCTTTGGTTAGGTTCATTCCTAGGTATCTTATGGGTTTTGGTGCAATTGTAAATGGGATCAGCTCCTTAATTTCTCTTTCTTCTGTCTCATTGCTAGTGTATAGAAATGCAACCGATTTCTGTGCATTGATTTTATTTCCTGCCACTTTGCTGAATTCTTGTATGAGTTCTAGCAATTTTGGGGTGGAGTCTTTTGGGTTTTCCACATAGAGTATCACATCATCTGCAAAGAGTGAGAGTTTGACTTCCTTGCCAATTTGGATGCCTTTTATTTCTTGTTGTTGTGTGTTTGCTGGGGTTAGAACTTCTAATACTATGTTGAACAACAGTGGTGAGAGTGGACATCCCTAGCATGTACCTGACTTTAGGGGGAAAGCTCTCAGTTTTTCCGCATTGAGAATGATATTCGCTGTGAGTTTTTCATAGATAGGTTTTATGATATTGAGGTGTGTACCCTCTATCCCTACACTGTGGAGAGTTTTGATCAAGAAAAAATGCTGTACTTTGTCAAATGCTTTTTCTGCATCTGTTGAGAGAGTCATGTGATTCTTGCCCCTTCTTTTATTAATGTAGTGTATCACAGTGATTTATTTGTGAATGTTGAACCACCATTGCGTCCCAGGAATAAATTCCACTTGGTCGTAGTGAATAATCCTTTTAATGTACTGTTGGACCTATTGGCTAGTATTTTGGTGATAATTTTTGCATCCATGTTCTTCCGTAATATTGGTTTGTAATTCTCCTTTTTGGTGGGGTCTTTGTCTGGTTTTGGGATCAAGATAATGCTGGCCTCATAAAAAGAGTTTGGGAGCTTTCCTTCCATTACTATTTTTTTGAAACAACTTCAGAATAAGTATTAATTCTTCTTTTGGTGTTTGGTAGAATTCCCCTGAGAAGCCATCTGGCCCTGGGCTCTTGTTTGTTGGGAGATTTTTTATTATTCAGTTTCCTTGCTGGTTACTGGTCTGTTCAGGTTTTCTATTTCTTCCTGGCTCAGTTTTGGTAGTTTATACATCTCGAGGAGTACATCCATTTCTTCCAGAATTGCCTGATTTGTTGGCATATAATTGGTCATAATGTGTTCTTATAATTGTTTCTATTTCTTCAGTGTTGACTGTAATCTCTCCTCTTTCACTCATGATTGTATTTATTTGGGTCCTTTCTCTTTTCTTTCTGGTAAGTCTGGCCAGGGATTTATCAATCTTATTAATTCTTTCAAAGAACCAACTCCTAGTTTCGTTGATTTGTTCTACTGTTCTTTGGTTTCTATTTCATTGATTTCTGCTTTGCTCTTTATGATTTCTCTTCTCCTGCTGGGTTTACGGTTTTTTTGCTGTTCTTTCTCCAGCTCCTTAGGTGTAAGGTTAGGTTGTATATTTGAGACCTTTCTTGTTTCTTGAGAAAGGCTTGTATTACTATATACTTTCCTCTTAGGACCACCTTTGCTGTGTCCCAGAGATTTTGAACAGCTGTGTTTTCATTTTCATTTGTTTCCATGCATTTTTCAAATTCTTCTTTAATTCCCTGATTGACTCATTTATTCTTTAGTAGTATGCTCTTTAGCCTCCATGAATTTGAGTTCTTTCCAACTTTCCTCTTGTGATTGAGTTCTAGTTTCAGAGCATTGTGGTTTGAAAATATGCAGGGAATGATCCCAGTCTTTTGGTACTGATTGAGACCTGATTTTTGACCCAGGATATGATCTATTCTGGAGAATGTTCCATGTGTACTAGAGAAGAATGTGTGTTCTGTTGCTTTGGGATGGAATGTTGTGAATATATCTGTGATGTCCATCTGGTCCAGTGTGTCATTTAAAGTCTTTATTTCCTTGTTGATCTTTTGCTTAGATGATCTGTCCATATCAGTGAGTAGGGAGTTAAAGTCCCCAATATTATTTTATAATTATCAACCTTTTTCTTTAATTTGTTATTAATTGGTTTATATAATTGACTGCTCCCAGGTTAGGGGCATACATATTTATAATTTTTAGATATTCTTGTTGGATAGACTCTTTAATTATGATATAGTGCCTTTCTTCATCTTTTATTACAGTCTTTAGTTTAAAATCTAATTTGTCTGATACAAGGATTGCTACTCCATTTTTCTTTTGATGTCCATTAGCATGATAAATGGTTTTCAGCCCCTTCACTTTCAATCTGGGGATGTCTTCAGGTCTAAAATGAGTCTTTACAGATAGATATCCACAGTTCTTGCTTTTTTATCCAGTTTGATACCCTGTGTCTTTTGATTGGGGGCATTTAGCCTATTTACCTGCAGGGTAACTATTGAAAGATATGAATTTAGTGTCACTCTATTGCTTGTAAAGTGACTGCTTCTGAATATTGTCTCTGTTGCTTTCTGGTCTATGTTACCTTTAGGTTTTCTCTTTGCTTAGAGGACCCCTTTCAGTATTTCCTGTAGGGCTGGTTTGGTGTTTGCAAATTCTTTTAGTTTTTGTTTGTCCTGGAAGCTTTTTATCTCTCCTTCTGTTTTCAATGACAGCCTAGCTGGTTGTAGTATTCTTGGCTACATATTTTTCTTGTTTAGTGCCTGGAATGTAGCATGCCAAGTCCTTTCTGGCCTTCTAGGTGTCTGTGGATAGGTCTGCTGCCAGTCTAATGTTCTGCCCTTTTAGGTTATAGACCTCTTGTCCCAAGTCACTTTCAGCATTTTCTCTTTGTTGCTGAGATTTGCAAGTCTCACTATTATATGTTGAGGTGTTGCCAAATTTTATTGATTTTGAGGGGGGTTCTCTGTGCTTCCTGGATTTTGATGCCTGTTTTCGTCCACAAATTAGGGAAGTTCTCCGCTATAATTTGTTCCAGTCTATCTTCTGCCTCCCTCTCTCTTTCTTCTTCTGGGATCCCAATTATTCTAATATTGTTTGGTCTTATGATATCACTTATCTCTCAAATTCTCCCCTTGTGTTCCAGTAGTTGTTTCTTTCTCTTTTTCTCAGCTTCTTTGTTCTCCATCATTTGACCTTCTGTATCACTGATTCTCTCTTCTGTCTCACGTATCCTAGCAGTTAGACCCTCTGTTTTTATTCCATCTCATTAATAGCCTTTTTTATTTCAACTTGGTCAGATTTTAGTTCTTTTATTTCTCCAGAAAGGGATTTTCTAGTGTAGTCTATGTTTGTATTCAATCCCAGCTAGTATCTTTATAATCGTCATTCTGAACTGTAGTTCCCACATCTTAACTTATGTTCATCCTGATTAGGTTTCTGGCAGTGAGTTCTGCCTCTTGTTCTCTTTTTTGAGGTGAGTTTTTCCATCTTGTCATTCTTGCAGAAAGTGGTTGCTTTTCTATTTGTAGAGTTGCAGCTATTCTTTTCTTAGCTCTCCAGTTGAGTTCTCAGGTGTTCAGAATTATTTGATAGCTATCTAGCTAAATTCCTGGGACCAGACAAAATTAAGGTCTCCAACTCCTCTGCTATCTTGGACTATTACTCTTGTGTTTTTAAAAAATGTTCTATTATCTGTAATATGGTAAATAGGTGTAACCCAAATAAACAAATGTTCTTTGGGGTTCTCAATAATTCTTAAGGGTGTAAATGGTTCATGAGACTATAAATTTCTGAGACCCACTGATCTGGAAAATATGGCAGTTTCTTGTGGGGGTTATTTAATCAAGATTTTTTAAAATATGTGTAGGGAAATGAACGAATATGTGAAGTTACAAACCTGCATTAAATATGTGTTAGAGTTTTATGTGTTCATATAGCTAGTTCTTTTTAACTAGGAACTCTTCAATATTTCTTTTCGTATCTGTGACTTTCTACTTATCCCCCAAATCACTAACAGTAATTTTTTTGTTCTTCACAAGGAACTTGATGCCTGAAGATATACTATGTACATTTGAATGTATGCAATAAATTTCATTAAAATAAATGTGTATTATAAATGATTGTAAACTTCAGTGAATATTTCTGAAAGAATGTAAACTATCACTCATTTTTATTTTGGAAGTGATTTTAGAAATTGTCCTGGTTTAGGTTTGTAACAGTGGTTTCTGTAATTAGCTCCTCTAGGTTTCCCTTGTCTCCCCGACCGGACTCAGTGCACAGCACAACTTCAAGCAGTGACTCCCACGACAGTGAAGAGAATTATGTTCCCATGAACCCAAACCTGTCCAGTGAGGACTCAGTACGTAAAGTCTTTATAAGCAGCCCTTCCAGGTCCTGCAGGCCAGGACATTTCTTCCCATCTCTACATCTTACCCTTACATCCTTCTTTATATACTTAAGGACAAAGGATAGAAGACAACTTTTTTAAAGTGCTTCTTAAATAATAAATGCTTCTTAAATAATAAGCTTCTTAATAATATGATAAAGTTTAAAATCAATAAAGTGTCAGTGTGTAATATCAGCATCTATAAAGTAGATTAGAATGAGTTAAAAATCATAAAATTTTATAGTTATATTTATTTTAAGATATATTTAATTTTTGAAACTATTCAAAAAAATATAGTGGAGTATTGCACAATGCAGTTCTCCAGGCCCACTGTACCCTTAGAGTGAAATGATCTTATATAGGAGGTCTTTGACAATCTTTCAATAATATATCCTTAGGTGTGGCTTAAAGATTACAGACCTGATTTGTTTCAGATTGGCTGTACAAACCTGATTTGTTTCAGAATGGCTGTATTACTGTAAGGCACAAGAATTTTATAACTGTAGCAAGCTTGTGTTCTGCAGAAATTTTAAGTTGCCAGAAAATACTTCAGATATTTAAGAATAAAATCTGATTTTAATGTTTAAAAATATTTTACTTTTATTTTCCCTCAAATCAGATTCAGTCCTTGCTCTGTTACTTGTATTTTAGTAGATGAATATATCAGTTATGATTAGATTCACCTCTGAGTAACAAAAAATAAACAAATAATAGTGATTTAAAACACATTTATTTCTCCTCATGTAAGAGTCCAGAGAGAGTCAAGCCATGGTTGTTCTGGCAGAGCCCTGTTCTACAGAGTCCTCGGGGACTCTGACCCCTTCCAGCTCTCCCATCCGCCATCTTCTGGGTGTGGCTCACAAGCTCATAGAACAAGGTCGTGCTGCACCAGCAGTTCACATTCTAAGCTTCAGGATAGAGCACAGCCTATCTGCTTATAAAGAAGGTTCCCAGAAACTGCTGTACACACCATGTGGCCACATAAATATGAAAGGGGCTGGGAAACATCCTTTCTTCTGAGGGACAGTGGGCCTGGCTAAAAACCCATTCACATGAGAGAAAGAAAGGCAGCAGCTAGGGCACAACCAGGTAGTATCTGCCAAGGTAAGCAAACATGTCATATCAAAATTTGGAATGGGTAATATTTTAGTGGCTTTATTTTCTTTAGAGTGATACTCTAGAGGTTCAAATAGAAAAGTCCATTTCTAGCAACAAATTTGTTTTACATCTTTAATGTACTTTAGGCAAAAACAGGTTCCTCATAAAAATGAAATGATTTGAAAAGCTTGATGTGGTGCTTTAATTAACTTTAAAATATCAAATGTATACGATGTTCAAAATGAATAAGATAATTTAAAATATTTACATCAGTCCTGGATTAGAATACAAACTAGCTATATCAATAATCCTTTCACTGATTTTTAAGGCAGTTTTTACTAATTGGTTTCTGCTTTTACATTTACAATTTTTTAATTTGATAAGTGGGGTTTTACTTTTATTAACTTATTTTTTTCTCATCATAGTAAATAGACTGGTAAAAGTCTACATAAATCCTCAGTGCAGTATCAGAGTACATACTGTCATCAATTTTTATCTTTACCTGGTTGAATGGATTTTTTTTTAATTACAAAAGCAATTATTTTCTGAGATACTAAGAGTTTCCTTTTGCCCAAAATAGTAAATTACCATAAAAATCTTAGAAAGGACGTGTAATAGGCAAGTTTGGAAATGTGATTTGTCATGACTTAGTGTTAGGTGAAAGGAAAACATGAGAAAGAAAAACATTACATTCAGAAAGTCAAAGAAAATAAAATTATTCTTTTATAGCTTGTGACATTAAGCCAGAAAGATACTTTTGCCTGCCAGCCAATGATTTTCTAAAGTACTTAGGTCCTAAGTGTTAGAAATAAGCAAAAATATTCCTGGTGAAAACACACACACACACGCCCCTTGACCTTCACAAAAGAAAAGCCAACCACCATTTCCATTTACTCATGCTGCCAGCTGCAAGAGTTCATCATAGTCCGGACAATTCTTCCTTAGAAAAGAATGTGATATAGTTACAGCAGTGTTTTCCGTACCTCTTGGGAGTTAGTGCATTAATGGAATACCATAGAAATTCACAAGATCTCATTATGCTAGGACAGATGAAGTCAGTAAAAGATTGTCTTGGAGAAGCTGAGACAGGATCAGATCAAATCAGATCAGATCAAATCTGTCTTATGCCTACAATGAAGATTAAATTCTGTACATTGAAGATTCAAAGCATGATACATTTCCATACGGTGATCATAGAGCAGGTGGTGTTTAATGAAACCATGATGCTGCCTGTTAATTTATACAGAGATCCAAAGTTAGGCATTCATGAAGTGAACCCTTAATATGACACTTGAAATTTGTGTGACTGTATATCACTACTAAAGATATAAATATTGTTACATAACAATAACAACAAAAATATGTTCAACAATTTTCCATACTTTAAAAAGAACTTTAGAAAATCAAAGCACTACTGTTTTTTGTTTTTTGTTTTTTAATTCACAGAACATTATGATCACTCCTAGAATCTTAGGGTTTTTCTAAACTGTTTTGGGAAAACAGTGGGTTAAGGACTAGAAAGCAGAGACAGGCTGTTCCCGGTTGAGATTAGAACAAGACTAAATGGACTACCTTGCAGGGATGAAAAAATTTCCAATTCTAATAATAACTAGACAGAAAACAGTTTAACTAGCAATTCTGAGAAATTCTCTTTAGGAACAACTTGTTGAGTTTAAATGTGTACATCATATAAGCTCATAGGCTCCTTTGATAGTCTTTCCATACTATGAACAACTGTAGGTATTTCCAGCTAGGGGAATTCCGGGTATGGGTTCTTTCATGAGTCACATTTGAATACAGAATTTTATACACACACACTTCTGCTTGATTTTTTATGTGCGAATGAAATATGGAGTTATTCAGAAAAAAAATTCAATTTTTTTATGAATTAGGAAAAAAAGGGAGAGGGAAATACCTATAATTGAGCGGCAAAACTTGCTTACACGTTTTAGTGCCTTACATGTTACTCTCAATATTTTTTTAATGCTTTATCAGTCGTAGTTCATAGATTTGGTCAAAAGATCTGTTCCTACAAATAGAGGCCTCACATTCAGTCATGCAGCTGCTCCTGCGTAAGTATACTGTGTCCAGTATGTAATATACACGGTAGACTGCACAGTATTGCGTCTGTGGGTACATGCAGTTCAGATCATGTCCTGCTCACCAGGCCATGGACCCTGGCACAGATCTGTGTAGACCCACAGACAGGAGTACCTTCTCTAATTCACAAAAATGTTTCACATGGGCTATTAGCACCCCTGCTTCAAAAGAGGAAATGAATTCAGTGTTTTTCTAGCAATTTCCTTTGCCTGAACCACAGTTTACTCTGTTTAACTTGAGCTAGAAGAAAAGGAGTAGCAATATAAAAGGATCAAGAGGGGGCACCTGGGTAGCTTGGTCAAGCATCCAACTCTTGATTTCAATTTCAGCTCAGGTGATGAACTCAGAGTCCTGAGATCAAGCCCTGCCTGGGGCTGTGGGCTGGACGTGGAGCCTGGTTAAGATTCTCTCTTTCCCTCTCTCCACCCCACCCCTGCTGGTGTGTGTGTTCTCTTAAATAAAAAAAAAAAAGCAAAACTAGATTTATGGAGTTTCCAAATTGCTTTGTTTATTATAACAAGTATAACTTTTAAATATATTACATCATTATGGTTTTCTTCAGAAGTATAAAATAATATATGAATATTCGTATGTACGTGATAGAAGACACAAGGATGGAAGCTGCTAATGTCTTGACTACAAGAAGTCCAGAATATTTCTAGGTGAGGTTGGAAGCAGCAAGGCAGAGAAACAAGGCATTTATTGGCACACATTTGGAACTATTGTAATTAGCATAGAGGGTATATGTTGGGGCATAAATTCATGTCATCCTTTCCTTCCTGTTCAGCATTGATCGTCAGGTTCCTAACAGCTTGTTTCTTTTGCATTTTGCTGTCTCAGGCTTTTTAATTTTTATCATTTATTGGTGTCCTCTATCTTCTTTCTCCTTTATCTTTTTTTAGAGAGTAGCTCTTCAATTGTACAATTCCTATTAGGACAGAAGAAATAAGGCTAAAGAGAAGACAGAAGAAATGAAGTAAAAATTCCAGATGATTAAAACAAAACAGACTTTGCCAGTGCAATAATTGTTTATAGTCTTTAGTTAATATACATATGCTAAACTAATTTCAGTGTGAGAGCTTTTTTTTTTTTTAAGATTTACCAATTTATTTATTTGATCGAGAGAGAGAGAGAGAGAGAGAGAGCGCAGGCAAGCAGGAGGAGGGACAGAGGTAGAGGGAGACTCCAGCAGACTCCCTGCTGAGCACAGAGCCGATTGCATGACCCTGACATCATGACCTGAGCTGAAACCAAGAGTCAGTCGCTCAACTGACTGAGCCACCCAAGTGCCCCAACATGAAAGCTTTTCAGTAAAATATAGGACTTTTTAAAGACTTTAATTAGGAAGCAAGGAGTGAAAGGATCTGGTAGTTTAAAAATGTAATTGAGTAAAGATACCATTTTAATAATGTTCAGGTGGCATTCTCGCACCTGTAGCTTGATGTTTCAGTCTTAGTTTGAACAGTTTGACTTTTGAAACTACGTTTAACTTGCTCTAAGCTAAGTTGTAACTAATTTTCTTAATATTACTTATTTTCCTCCAATCCTAAAAGGTTATTTAACTTTCTAAGCAGACATTGTTTTAAACCATATCCTCTTGAAATAAATACTTTGGCTTTAGTAGATGACGACGAACAAGATAAGCAGTATGTCTCATGGATGCCCAACAGTTGATTTGTTGTATTACCCTTTTCAGAATCTTTTTGGCAGTAATAGTCTTGATGGAAGAAGCAGTCCTATGGTCAAGCCCAAAGGAGACAAACAAGTGGAATACCTAGATCTAGATTTAGATTCTGGGAAATCCACACCACCACGTAAGGTAAGTGAAATCTCATTCTATAAAAACAATTATTGCTCACCTTTTTTAAACCCACAGAATCATGTTTCCTCTGGGGAAATTTTATTAGTATGTTTAATTTAAACTTAATAAAGTCTGTTATTTAATATTGTTTCATAAATCACAATTAACAAAGTTATGGAGATAAGTTGCTTTTTTTCCTTTTTAATGTTATAGAAATGATATATTTCTATTTTAGTGGTTACTTTTGAAGTGCTTGCTTAGCTAAATCTGAAGTTATTCATTATCTTCATACTCTTTCCATTGTTAGCTCACATTACTCCCCTTCTGACATATGAGCTATTTTTGACCAGAGTTTTGGTTTTTTCCATTTCTTAAATCCACAAATTACACAGTAGTAGTAGTAGTAGTAGTAGTAGTAGTAGTAGTATTCTTATAATATAGACAGTGTTTACTTACATTTTCCTCATATTTGCAAACTTCTCTTTCTTACCATTTCTTGTTGTATTTTAGCCCTTCCTCCCATATTCATTTTTTCTTTCTTGTTTTCTGTTTTTCTTGAGAGAGGTAGACTGGGGAGGGGCGGGGAGGGCATGTGAAGAGAAGAACAGAGAGAGAAGGAAAGAGAATCTTAAGCAGGCTCCACACCCAGCACAGAGCCCAACTCAGAGCTCAATCTCACAACCTTGAGATCATGACCTGAACTGAAATGAAGAGTTGGATGCTTAACCCTGGTTAATCATTTTTTTTCCTCCTGAAATTCATCTTTTAGAAGTTCCTCTTGTCCTCGTTCTTGAAAAAGTTTTTTTGAGTTCACAGTTCTTGATTGGCAATAGATTTCTTTCAACACATAGAAGATACTGTTCACTATCATCTGGCTTCCATTGTTCCTGTTGAAAAATATGCTGTCATTCTAACTATAGTTCCTTTGTAGATAATTTGTCTTTTTTGTCTGGCTGATGTTAAGATCTTTTCTGTATCTTTAGTATTCTACAGATTTACTCTAATGTATCTAGACATAGATTCCTTTTTATTTATCATGCTTGATGGAAGTTGTACTGTTTTTATGTCTGGGTTTGTATTTTTTTAATCAATTCTGGAAAAGTCCTAGTCATTTTCTCTTTTCTTTTTTTCCAGTAATTACTTCTTTAAATACAGCTTTTCAGCTATTCCTCTTATCCTCTCACTTGAGGTTTCTTATTACAGATTAGTTAGAACTTACTCTATTTTCCATACATCTTCACCTTTTCATATTTTCTTTCTATTCATCTCTTTGTGCTTCTCTGGATAATTTTTTTTGATCTGTCACTAAGTTCACTATCACAATTATCCTGTTTAACCCATTGTTTAATTTTTAATTTCAGTTATTTTATTTTTATTTCTAAAATGAAATTTTGCTTGTTTTTTTAAAATATACCTAGCTGTTTTGAATAGTTTCTTATGCCTTTTATTTAGTTTTCTTGATTCCTTTAAAGATTTTGTGCATATATATTTTATACTGTTTATTGTCATTTCCGTATCAGACCTTGGACATCTAAATCTGTGTTTATTCTTTCTGCTCACTCTTGATCTTATTTCCTTACATGTTTTATTCCTTTTTTTTTTTGCAAATTCATTTTCCTGAGTATATCTGTGGGAATCCTGCAGACCTAAATTTCCTTCAAAATAGATTTGCATTTTCTTCTGTTGGGAAGCACTGTGGGACAACTTCAGTTCCCTTTAGGGGTCCCTAGCTTAACAGGATGGTCTCAGATTGGGCATGCCATCCCATCCAGGGCCTCCTAATTGCATTGCTGAGATTGACATTCATCCTAAAGACAACTGTAAAGTTTACCGTGAGCAGCTCTTTGTCCTCTCTGTTTCCCTCACACCTTGGGTATTTCTGTTACTTTCCAGAGAGCCCAGCACTGCATTAAAAATTGTATGTGTCTTAAGTTAGTTAGTATTTAGTTGTATTTTAGAAATAAAAGGTCCTGGGGCACCTGGGTATCTTAGTCAGTTAAGCATCTACCTTCGGGTTCAGGTCATGATCCAGGGTCTTGCTCCCTGCTCAGCGGGCATCCTGCTTCTCCCTCTCCCTCTGCCACTCACCCTACTTGTGTGCAGTCTCTCTCTCCCTCAAATAAATAAATAAAACCTTTTAAAAAAAAAGTAAGAGATCCTGTCAGCCCATGTAGTTTGCCATTCTTGAGATACTGCTTTTCAAAAAACATTTCTTAGCTCCAAAAGTAAACACTGATACATGTTCTAAGGACTTGAAAAAGTGAAGCTTCAGCTAGAGGGAGAAGTAAGCTGTGTATCTTAACATGAAACAGGGGTCTGCAATCCCTGTTTTCTAAGAGTTCCATCTGTGTTGCGAGCATTAGTCTGTGTTATTATATATAGTAATTTTAAATTTAAGGGGAAAACAATGTACAATTAGGAAAAAAACAACATTTTTAGATTGAGGTAATGTTACTTTGTGTGTATGTGTGTGTGTGACCCAATAGAATTTCAAGAGTTATTCACAGCATGTGACTGTCTTGCATTTTAAGACTAAATTTCACTCAGAACTCTTTTATATGTGGGGCTTTTTGGTGTTCTTTGCTTTTTAGCAAAAGAGCAGTGGCTCGGGCAGCAGTGTGGCTGATGAGAGAGTAGATTATGTTGTGGTTGACCAACAGAAGACCTTGGCTCTAAAGAGCACCCGGGAAGCCTGGACAGACGGGAGACAGTCCACAGAATCGGAAACACCAGCCAAGATTGTGAAATGAAAATACTGCTTTGCTGATTCTGAACAAAAGAGAACTGAATTGTAGAGATAAATCCTGTTTAACTGAAGAAGACTTGACACTTCTAGATAGATCCTCAACTGAGTAGAATTGAAGTCAAAGGACCTTTCAGACATAATCAAACAATTTAAACTGTAAATGGTGCTTTGTGGTATCTGAACAATTCATAACATGTAAATAATATGGGAAAATAGTGTTGTTTAGCTCCCAGAGAAACATTTTTTCCATAGTTAACTCACTAGTAGTATTACTGTATTTATGTACTTTTTCATTTAAAACATTGGTTTGGGTATTCCAAAATGTTCCTTAACATAATTCCTTTGGGAGTTCTTGTTTTTCCTCACACTACTCTATATAACAATACTAAGTTAACTAAGCTACTTTTAGATTTGGAAATTGCTCTTTAAAGTGCACTCTAACAACATTAAAATGAGAAGTAGATCCACAATTTACCTTTCTACCCGAAACTTCAGGTGATAACCATTAGCTTAAATTACGGAGTACAGTTGGACTCATCATTCACTGCCTTCCAGAATGCTGCAGATAATCATGTACTGGTGTCAGGAGCTAATTCTCTGGTTCATGTATGTTTAGTTTTCAGTGGTGGAACTTTATTATATTTTGTTTATTACAGTGTTTTTGATTCATTGAGTGAAGATTCTGCCAGGTGGGGTCTTGCACCTTGGAAAGACTGAATAATTACACTGTCAAGTAAGACTGTAGATCACTTACAGCATGCAGTGATGATGTGCTCTCACACTTGTTAACGTGTATTAAACTTTACATTATTTGCAAAATGTAGGTTATGTAACTAATCAGGTACGTACCAGGCACCGATGTGCTAATACACTGATCAGGTTTAGACAATGAGCTTTAGTTGTGTTCTTGTAAGTCCTAATATTGGTTTCCAGTTTGGACCTAATGAAACATTCACTGTTAGTTATAGCATCATACTGTGATTTTTTTAATTAGACAGTAATTCAGATTTATTACTCTTAAGAATGAAATTCTATCTTTTGACACCGTAGTGCCCTATGATTTTTTTAACTTTACTTTATATTCTTCTTGGCCTTATATTTAAATCCCTATGCAATTAATATTTTATATCTACATTTTAAAAAAATAGATGTTGTATAAGTGATTCTCATATGTAGCACTTATTGCTTTTCCAGTAAAAGAATTAAGGATTTTGTACTGTGATTTCTATTCACTGCCCTAATTCAAGAAATATTGAAGCATTGCTATAATGTGAAATCTTAAGTCATGGACCTCTTCCAACCAGATATCTGAAACGACCTAAGGAATTATATAATTCTTTCTCACCTATAACATGGTCCTGTGACATGGATATCAAAACCACAAATTTTTTATAGTGAGGCTATAGTTGTATTTATCTGTTTTGGCTTTGCAGTGTAATTTAGAAAGCAGGTATAGTTGTTTGCTTGTTTTTTTAACTAAGTTACATACAATCTTTTACTGATTTGAGACTTACTAACAGTTTTTGGAGGGGGCGGAGATAGGCGTGCCCACAGCTGAGGCATGATTCCTTCCATTCAAACCTCTAACTGTTGCCTAAGTACATAGATGTACCCTGATATCTGGTCTCTTGGCCATAGTACTGTGCCTAATCAATGTAATGGGTTTATTTCCCCAATTCATGAACTAAAAAATGTTCATAACAAGATGAATTGTAGACTAGTAACATTTGATGCTTTTAAATGTTTGCGTCTTTTTAAATGAAAACTAAAACCCAGGAGTGAATTTTCAGGTGGATCTTTAAATAAAAAGACTGTTTGAATTTGGTGTGCGTAAGCTGTTTTGTAATAAAACCACAAAATAAAATCCAAAATTACTGAAATGTGCCTAAACTATTAAAATACACAGCACACTTGATGTGTAAAATTGCTAAATTGTGTTACATGGAAGATGAATGCATTTTCAGATTTAGAACACAACAGTAAATATATTCAATAAGTATATTATCAATTCAAAGGTGGAAATGTTGTTTAAAGCTGCCTATCAAGAGTCTAAGGCAAATAGACTGACTTTTTTAGTGTAGGTTCTCCATTTTTTACAAGTTATCATTTTTGAAGACCTGCAGCACTCTAATTTGTAGAAGTTTTCCCACTGTGCAGAATAATTTAAGAATTGAAATGTATTGGGCAGTTAGTTTTAGAAAACATAATCACGTTAAAACATTGTATTAACAAATTAAAAGACAGTTTCTTATGGAGCATCATTTTCCAAACATTTTTTAGCAGTGGAATCTTCAATAAAATTTTGTGTAATGCCAACACATAAAGTCTGAAAAGTTCGTTTTATCAATGTAAATATTTTGGGTTCACATTTAAGTTTATTTATCTTAATCCATTACTAGGAATAAAATTTGCGAGTAACACAAATGTGTAATTGACATTATAGAGTTGACCAAAAACTTCAGCAGCCAATTTGTTTTATTTGCATATTATCAAGAAAGATTTGATTCACACAAACTTAAGTAAGTAAATAATAGCAGGTTTAAGCACACATCTCAGAATGTTCTTTAATTAGAGATAGCTGAAGTTGTATTCCACGGTTTAAAAAAACCATTCTTGTAGTGGAAGTTAATACATACACAGTCTTCAGTATGGTTAAAAAAAAGCGGGGGGTATGTAACACATTAGAATGTGCATTTTTATTGTTTTAAAAATACACATTCATAAAAACAAAAATTTTTTAAACCCTAATCACCTCCAAAAAGCTGAGTTTTAGCCAGGCAAGCTTTGGAAACCACTGGTTAATCATGTGAGTTATAAGTCAGAAGTCTTTTTCTCCCACATGTTTGATGTTGTGTATTTTTTATTTCTTACTTTGAAAAACAGTAACATTTTATGAGGTTTTGAATACCAAAGCACAGTTCTGCTATTAAGAATTGAAATTTAAACTTGAATAATTTAAGCTACTTAACCCATGGAAGGTATCACTTAGTAAGCTATAAAAGATGGTTTTTATCTACACTCTGTACATCTTCATCAATACCAGATAAGCTACTGTGAGCATTTTAGAGAATTCCATAAGGTACTGCTATGAATGTGTGTGTGTATATAGCGTTGTATTTAATCATAGACTAAATTTGATAGAGAAACACTGCTATACTTGCACATTAAGGTCATAAGTCAATTTCTTGTGGACTCTAATGGGGGTCACAATCTTCATATTCATAAATGCATTTAAACTGGAAATTGAACACAGTGTTTGTATTTCTTTTTCTGCTAGTAGGAAGTTGTCTGCTTACCCCCTTTTAATGAAAACAGTATTTTTGATATTTTTTAAAACAGTAGCTACTTTATGCCTGTACACTGTACCATAGACAGTGATCTCAATTCTCGGATGCTTTCAAACGCTCTTAGTGCCTCTTTCTTTGGTCCACTGAAAGTATTGGTTTTAGTATTTTGAATGAATACAAAACCTCTAGAAATTCAGAGACAACAAAGTCTCTCCTAACTCTGTCTTTGGGTCATTCTGGTGGGTCTTGTCCTTTATTGTCAAATAAGCAGTTGGGTCCATAGCAGGGATTGTACATATGACCAAATCAAGTGGCTACAGGGAGAGAGCCATATATATATACATACATACATACATACATACATACCTTAGGGTAAGACTGTCAATAACATCTGACATGTTATATGTAAATCTGTATATAATTTAAAACACTGACAGCTCTGAAATGAAAAGCCATGGTGTAAATGAATAATGTTGACCTTATAGACTTGATAGCATGAGAAGCTGATTGCCAGGTTGTGGAGATAATTGGTTTTCACTCTGACTAAATATGTTTCTGTATTCCTACAGCTTGAAATAATTTAGCTTGTCTTCTTTTCCATAAACTTAACTTTCTTTAGGTTCATTATAATGTCTGTTACGAGTTTGAACAAACTGTTTAGTCAAGGGATTAACGTGGCTTCTACTTTCTTTCCCTAAAAAGACGTGGCTTTGTGGAAGTTGTTGTAACCTGCATCAGTTGTTGGTAATCATCCCAAATTTCGACAGCAAAATCTTATGTATGTTTATTTCCCCCCCCTTCGCACAAATTTTTTTGTAAAGATCCAATTGTAGGTATTTTCTGCTACCAAATAAAACGTTTCAAACAATTTGGCTTCAAGACTGTAACTAGTCAGTTTGGATACCAAGACTGTGAACTAAGGAAGACCTATAAATGTATATTTGTAACCCTTCTTTAGAGTCTACCTAAATAAAATAAAAAAACAATTCTGCCATTTACTATTCGTTGTCCCTTGAACAACATAGGTTTGACCTGTGTGGGTCCACTTACAAATTCTTTTTAGTAAATAGGAACAGTACTCTATTTTCCTTATGATTTTGGGTTTTTTTTTAAAGATTTTATTTATTTGACAGGCAGAGATCACAAGTAGAGAGGCAGGCAGAGAAAGGGTGGGGGGAAGCAGGCACCCCGCTGAGCAGAGAGCCTGATGCGGGGCTCTATCCCAGGACCCTGAGAACATGACCTCAGTGGAAGGCAGAGGCTTTAACCCACTGAGCCACCCAGGTGCCCCCCTTATGATTTTCTTAATAGCATTTTTCTAGCTTTATTTATTGTAAGAATACAGTATATAATGCACATAACACCAAATACGAGTTAATTGACGGTTTATATGATCAGTAAGGCATTTGGTCAACAGTAGATTAGGGACACCTGGGTGGATCATGCGGTTAGTGTCTGCCTTTGGCTCAAATCATGATCTCAGGGTCTTGGGATCGAGTTCCACATCGGGCTTCTTGCTCAGCTGGGAGCCTGCTTCTCCCTCTGCCTGCAACTCCCCTTGTTTATGTGCTTTCCCTCTCTCTCTCTCTCTAACAAATAAATAAATGAAATTTTTTTTTAAAAACACAGATTACTAGTAGTTAAGTGTTAGGGAAATCAAAAGTTAATGTAGGCTTTTAATTGTGCAAGGAAGGGGTCAGCATCCCTAAGTCTTGTTCAAGGGTCAGCTGTACTTTCCCAGCCCTACTTCCAGAGGGTCACTCCTTTTCTGCCACCAAGATCTCATTAGATCATGCTGAAATACAGTCATCACACTCTAACTCAATAAGAAAAACCTCTGAGATGGTTACCATGTGCATAGGCCCTTGTTAGGCCTTCATTTAGCCCAAGTACTTCCAGCCTTTTGTTGAGTAGAAAGGCCAATAAAGAAGGGTCTGCATGCAGCTTTTTCCATCAGAAAATACTTTTTAATATATAAAACATGACTTGGGAAGTGGTAACTGGCTGGGCTTTTCCATTTCTGTTGAGAGTTTTCAGACATCTCCAGTACTTCACAAATGCTAAGGACCATCTCCGTCCTTTGGCCTACTCATGCCAGCGTTTTGCAACTGACTCATTAGATCATATTCGGGCCGTTTGGGGAATGTAAGGTTATCTTTTTTGAGATCATTCACTCCTCATCTGTGTTCCTGCCACCTTGTAGATGGTGACACTTCTATTTGCATATTATTTCTTTGGGAAAAAAGCTGCTGTCTCTGATAAACACTTTTGAGTTACAGTTTTATTAGGAGAGTTTTATAGAGAATAACTTGGCAATTCTGTGGATATGTTATTGCTTACTTAAAAGCTGTCAGTGATGGGAGGCATTTTATTAACTTGTGATGGGTAACATTCCTCCCTTATTTCCCTTTTTCAATATTAAAAAATATTTTTGTAATAAAATAAGTGAACATGTATAGGAAACTAAGTTTCTAAGATGTGTTTCTATACTTCATGAGAACAGGGTTTTATTACTATTACAGTGATTATGTTGGTGATTAACTCTTAGCATCTTGTTCTCTGATTTTGCATTCTATGTGATGCCCAGAACATTTGGAATACTCAATGTGAGGGATGTACAGTGTTCAGAAAAGAAAACAAAGCAAATCCCCAAAAAGGCCCACTTTCTCAAGTACAGTATTGTGGTGGCTGTATCAAGTTGGCAAGGCTGTGGTGCCCATGTGTTTGTTCAAACACTAGTCTAGATGTTGCTGTGAAGTATGTCATAAATGTGATTAAAGCATATCACTCTCTGTAATGTGGCTAGGCCTCATCCAGTGTACTGAAGGTTTTAAGAGCAAAAGCTGAGGTTTCCCACAGAAGGATTCCTGCCTCAAGACTGTAGCATAGAATTCCTGCCTGGATTTCCAGCTTACCAGCCTGACCTACAAATTTCAGACTTGCCAGTGCCCACAATTGTGTGACCCAATTCCTTAAAATAAATCTCTCCTGCAGACAGGTGGATAGATGGTTGGATGAGCAGGTAGACGATCAGTCGATTCTGTTGGTCTGTTTGGTAAACCCCGACTGATGTCAGTATTAATTCATTAATCTGAGTGCCTGTTACACACACACCAAGCAATGATTTTGAGGTTTAACTTGAAATATATTGGCAGTATCTACTCCAAAACTATCTTCTCTTATAAAATTAAAGTGTTGATGGATTTCTGAAGCCATTCACTAACAGTGAAACATGTTTCTACTTATGCTAGCCATAACTTTTGTCTTTCAGGAACCATTAAATTGGCATGAGGGGGAGACCGTATGCTAAAAGAAACAAAGATTTTATTAGATTCTTGCTGGGTGAGGCATATATCTTATTAACAGAATTACATTTGCTATCCTCAGGCTGTCATCTTGACTGTTGTCACATGTTAGGACCTTAACACGTTTATTAAATTATCCCTGCTTTAAATTTCCCTTGTGTGTGTGAGGCACATATCCTACATACCTCTTAAACTACTTTTCAGTAGTTCTGTAAAAAACTTTGTAAAAACAATGAGACCAAAAGCTGCTCACTCCAATCCTTAAACAAAACAATAATTCTGGAATTC